TTTTGGGTTTCCTATGCCACTTACCTTGACATGCAAAACTCTTTACTGTGTTAACCGCCCTTGACCGCACCCATTTAGAGCCGTCGGAAAGTAGTTCGATGACTCGCGGTATTGCTGGCGCGACCTCTGTTTGAAACTCAACTTCCAGACTTATCAGTGGATGGACTTTCGGATTCTACACGACACTCACCTTGGGTTGCAAATTCGGCCAACATGTCCAATGTCACTCCTCGAATGGTTTCAGACCTGTGATTGAGGAGGACCAGAGCGCGTGGAATCGTATTGGAAATATCTGGTTGATACTCGACTGTAATGGTTCTTAGCCGGCTTAACTGGGTCTCTATGTCACTCACTCTGGGCAGCTAAGCCTCTTATGGCACGTAATGCCGCGACCTGAGTATTTTCGGATCTGTGAGCGAACAATAGGGCCATCTTTGGTATTTCTGTCTTGATCTCGGGTCGAAACTCGGCTTCGATGGGCTCTCAGTAAGCACCTCTTAAGTTATTATACCACCTACCTCGTGCCGCAAGGCTTACAATTATATCTACCGCATCTTTCGAAACTGACTCTGATTTGTCCACAAATAGCTGTGTTATCCTTGGTAGCAACCCCTTGACCTCTGGGTGTAACCCGGCTGTAAAAGTTGTTAGATGACCTGAAGTTGTCCAGACCCACACCCACCTTGTTCTGAGAAGCGCCATATCACTTTCAATGTAGCTCTTTGAATCCACTCGGCCCCGTCCGTAAGGAGCTCCATGACTTTTGGTGTCGAAGCCTTCACCTCAGAGTGTAGTCCAGCTTCCTCATTGGTCAGATAACTGGGTTTCTAAGCACCTGCTTTACTGACTCTGTGTTGCGGAGGTCTCTATCACCTCCAACACGCCTCTTCGCACCCATTCAAAATTATCAGCACGCATCTCGATGACCTTTGGGATGATGTCTTTGATCTCCGACTGAAAATCACCTTGCGTAGATGTTAGTTGGCATATCTTTTCCTGTTTTCCGATGCTTACCCAAGATCACGAATCTCGATATAGCCCATACTGCGTCCTTTCGAATTGGATCAGAGCCATGAGAGAACAACTGGATGATATTAGGCATCGTAGCCTTGATATCGTACTGCAGTGGAGCTATTGGGTGTCCGTTAATCTAGCTGGATTTTTGACTTGATACCGCTCACTTTGTACTGCAGAGCTCAATATCGCATTTTGTGCTCCCCAACGAATATTCATGGCGGGATCGGCGAAGAGTGCAACAAGTTTAGGAATTGCAGGCTTGAGATCCAATTGAAATTCGGCTGTCGGAAGTACCGGGTT